GGTACACGCACCCACACAGAACTGCTGATACTGCTGCTACTGTCTGCATCACCCTTCTTGTTGTTTGTGAGTTCAGGAGGAAGTGTTGTCGTTGTTGTTGTGGTGGTGGTTGTATCTGTATTTCTCACCTCACCTTCTTGGTTATTTGATGACCCACTCCCCGTTGTGGTATTGTCATTCCCAGCGTTTGCAGCATCATTCCCGGTGCCTGAAGTATTGGGAGACGGTGAAGTTTGTGCTGCTTCACCTCCCTGGTTAGTTGCATTTCCTTCTGTTGTACTGTTGGCGCTTTGTTGAGGTTGAGGGTCACCTGCAGAAACACCGTTTTTCTCCGCAGCTTGAGCAGCATCACCATTAGGTCTTCCTTCGCGTCGAGGTTCCTGATTCTCTTGTTTAACTTGAGCACCAGCGGGATGTGCTTCATCATTATTGTCTGTTTGTACATTGGAATTGTCACCATTGTGTGCTTCATCGTTTGCAATTTCCTGACCTTGATTCCTATCTCCTTTTAATTGTTTTTCTTGTGGTGTTGGTACTGGTGGCTGTGGTGCTGATTTTAATGAAGATGCTGGCGGTGGTTGTGATACAGGAGTACAAGTACGTTCAGGAGTTTCAGGAGTACCAGAAGTGCACTCAGAACCATCAGGACCACCATGTTCAAGTTCCACTGCAGCAGAAGTACATTTACCAGAAGAATCCGCAGTACCACCATTAGTGCAATTCTTACCAGGAGTACCTTGAAGAAGAATCTTAGTCTCACTCTCCGTATCAGGGACTTGGTCGGAAAGATCGGCGGCAGGCACTTCTTCAGCGAGGACGTGCACACACGCACATGAGAGCAGTAGAGCGAGGATACACAGCACGTAGCGCATCATTACCATTACAATACTTCTTGTAGTAGTCTTACTTCAATCGCTTACAGAAAAAGAAAAACAGAAACAAAGTGAATCAATGAAAAAACAACACAAGATAAGAACACATTACCAAATCAAACATCAATCAATAATTACAGCAGAAGCACACACATTGCAGAAAACTTGCAACCATAACTCAGATAATGTCCAAATTAAAGTAAAAACGCATACAGTACCCAGTAACAAACAGATAATCCCAATGAGCCCCTCAAAAGAAAAACAAAAGAAATTAAAGAGTACAACCATGAAAAGTAGACAGCACAGAAATACATCAAAATGCCTCTTCCTGTAGGACCTAGCACAATTACAAATATACTTATGTATTCCTTACTATTGTTTCTCTCCACAAAACACTCCAATACACAAGAATGCAGGAAAAAGCACACAGCGCCCAAGCAAAAAAAACGTGAACAAAAACAAAAATTAAGAAGAGGAACAACCGCACAAAAATAACTCACAGACCACTGAGTATGCTGATTTGTTCAAGCACATAAGAATACAAATTATATTAACTACTATTTTTTTCTTACCTCAGCATAAAGCAGACTACCAAAACCGTGCTGGGCAAAGCACAAAATGTCCCAGCAGACCAAAAGCAAAGAAAGAATCATGTATTAATCAGTAGCCCAATTTACACAGTAAACACAGAATTATACTCCAAATATGGGTGTAAGTCTATATGTGTGTATATACAAGCAATTATAAATATAAATTCATCTGTTATTATTATTTTTTCCCACTGCAAAAAGCAGTTCATCATCATTATCATCACAGTGCAAGCCCAGGTGTACACAGAGAGAGTCTCCAAGAACACACACACAATGGAGTAGTAGCAATAATAATTATTATAGGATAAACATAGAGAGAGCAAAAACACACACAAAACACATTAACATTAAAAGAAACAAAAAAGAAGATAAATCCCAACAGGTGAAATATTAGTTAGACTGTAGGGATGTATGCAAAAAAGAAAAGAAAACAAAGGATGATCTGAGTCACACCACATCACCAGTCAATCAGCACACAAGAATACAGGACAGTGTAACCACAATCAGTAGTGGTACACGAAACCACACAGAACTGCTGATACTGCTGCTGCTGTCTGCATCACCCTTCTTGTTGTTTGTGAGTTCAGGAGGAAGTGTTGTTGTTGTTGTGGTGGTGGTGGTTGAGGTTGAGTCCTCATTACTGGCTGTAGTTGAAGGTTCAGAGTTCGTACTCGCTGAGTTATTTGTTGATGTCTGTGCAGAATTCTCACTACCTGCGGCTCCATCAGTATGCGAAGATGCTGAAGGAGTAGATGGTTCTGTACCAACACCTGCTTGAGGTTGTGTACCACTGGCGACTGCATCGTTAGTAACTTGTCTACTAACGATGTTTAAACTCTGTGCATTTTCAGACTTTTTTTCTTCACTATTAGCATTGGGGTCCTCTTCAGTGGGAGAGCCAACAGTATTCTTTTCACTGCCAGAATTGGATCCACCATTATTTCCTGATTCCTGCCTCTCGGTCACTTGCCCTTTAGCCTGCAAATCCGCTTTACCCCCACCTTGAATTTGATCGTTCTGATTGTCTGATGGAGAAAGAGCACCGTCGTTTGTATTTCCTGTAACAGGTTGTGATGGACTGGCAGGTTGACGGGGAGACTGAGTACTATTTCCTGGTAGTTGGCTTTCTGAAGGGCCCTGAGGACCAACTGGACCTTGTTTCATTTTATTTTCCCCATCCATGTCACCACCAGAAGAACCAGGTTGTGCTGTAGTCTCGGCACGTCCAGCTTTTCCTTTTCCAGGACCTTCTTTTCCTAATTGTTTACTTCCTGCGGCACCATCTTCACCACCACTCTCAGGTTCTTCTTCAACATGAACGTCAGCTTGAACGTCAGCGTTAGGAACCCTAACATCATCAGTATTAGCCAACACGAAACTGCAAGTACAATACAGTGCAAGAAGCATAACACACAACACTGTACGCATCATTATCATTACAATAATTCTTATTGTGTCTTAATGCAGTGGTTCAAAGAAAAATAAAAGAAGAAGCAATAAAAAAGAAATAACAGAAAATAACGGCATCCCCCTGAATACAAGAGAGTTATAACAAATAGCAAGAACGATAAAATGAGCAGTACATTGAATATTTACTCACAGAAGAAAACATATAAAACAAAAAGGTCGATAACACAAACAAATAAAATCCTCAGACATCTTGCCCATAAGCATGAACATACCATTGGAGTGCCTTCTTCTCAAGCATGATGGCTTCTAATCGGTCTTCCTCTGCAGTTGTCTGCCTCTCCAGGTCCGTAGATTTCAGCTGCAGTTCTTCTAATTCATCCTTCACAGCAGTCATATCGTGCCTCACACGTTGCAGCTGCAGCATCAGATTGTGTGCCCCACTTCGCCAGTCAGTCACGGTAACGGTGGGAGTGACATTATCAGCAGGAATGAAAGGAGCACCAACTCGTAGACACGCTTCCAACAACTGAGATGTACGCCACCATACCACTTTCTCCTTCTCTAATGCTGTTTCCCCACATTCATCCAATGCGGTGTATGTCTGACGCT